CAATCAACCGAGACATCTTTCAGTACGTGAATAAATAAACAAACTGTGGTCCATCCAGACAATGGAATATTATTCAGCAATAAAAAGAAATGAGCTATCAAGCGATGAAAAGACAGGGAGGAGCCTGAAATGTATATTGCCGAGTGAAAGAAGCCAATCTAAAAAGGCTACATCCTGTATGATTCCAACTATATGACATTCTGGAAAAGGCAAAACTGTGAAAATAGTAAACAGATCAGTGGTGACGGGGCGGGGGGAGGTTAGGGGGTAGAGAGGGATGAACAGGTGGAGCACAGATTCTGTGTGACATTGCAGTAGTGGATACATATTTTACATTTGTCAAAACTCACTGGGTTCACAAGAGTGAACCCTAATATAAACTCTGGGCTTCGGGGGATAATGATGTCAGCGGCGGTTCACTGATTACAACAGATGTATCACTCTGGTGTGGGCTGTTGAATGGCGGGGGAGGTTGTGGGTGTGGAAAGTACAGAGGGTTCCCATATACCTGCAGAGTATGTCTGTGTGTGCACGCACGTGTGCACGCATGTGTATCTTAACCCACTTGCTAGATGCAGTTTTTCTGCAGAAAACCCTTTCATGCAGTTGCTTATGAGCCAGCTGTAATTCTAGTTCATTACCCCCTTACTCTCTCATTCAAGAAATCACAGCAAAATGCTAATCACTGAGGATAATGTCACAATAATAGCTAGTAAAAATCGCTGATCATTTACTCTATATCATTCACTCAGTTACTTATCCCTCTCCTAGTTTTCAGGCACCTCCTGAATGCCAGCCACTCAGCTTGGTGCTGGAGATACAAAAATGGCATGGTCCCTTTCCTCGGGAGCATGTAATTAATGGGGCGGATGCAGAGATACAAGAGGGGTGGAAAAGGTTTGCAGGTATATTCTGCCATGCTAACAGTGGGGTCTTCTTTCTTCTGGGGGTGGGAGTCTGCTTTTGTTCAGAGTGGCCAAGATTTCAGAATGATAGCCGAAGCCCTAGCAGTGAAGCTGTTAATGGCTTCTTCAAGGACAGAGCACCCTTTTGTCCCCAGCACACACAGCCCACTTCAGTCCTGGACAAACAACTTGGCATCCACACGTAGCCTCTGGTTTGCCAGCCCCAGGACATCTCTGGCCTCAGTTCACGCCCAAGCCTGCCTGGGAGCCAGGGATGGGTCAGAACAAATGTCAACATCTCGAAGAAAAAGGAGTGATGTCCCCAGATGAGACGAAGGACATACTTCAGGGCAGAAGAAAATAGAATAGCACTAACAACCACAATAACGATAATGGCTGCTAACATTTGTGGAGCCCTAATTATATGCCAGGGGCCATGCCAAGTGCTTGCCATGGACAATCTTCCTTGATTCCTCCTTGAACCTTTATGGCATAAGCATTACGATAGACCTTTTTTAGCTGATGGGGAAACTGAGACTCAGAGTAGTTAAGAAACTCAGTTCATAAGGGCCAGCACCAGGATTCAAACACGTATCTGTCATAGAGCTGAAGCTAAAGCCTGAGTGGCATCCAGCACTTCCCTGTTTAGTTTGATCTTATGTGGACAGCCAAATTAAATAATTTAGACCCAGCCTTTCATTTTGAAATTAACTGATCTCTAAAGTCATGGCTGTGTATGTCATATCAGCAATGAGCAGAGGGCTGAATGGAAGAGGTATCGTTGGCTCTAAATCAAGGGAACCTTCAACAGTGAAGGTAGGAGACTGATGAAGTGGAGGGGGCATGGGCTTTGGAGCTGGACAGATCAGGGTTTGAGACTCTGAGTGGCCTTGAGGAAGTAATTAACCCTTCTGAAGAGAATAGCGCCAGTTCCATAAGGTCATTGGGAGGATCATACAAGATGATGCTTGTTTAGCACCCAGGACACTAAGAGGCTCAAATGTTTACTTCACAACTATTTATTCATGACCTAGGCCAGATGAATCAGGCTCTGTCCAAGGTGCTGGGATACAGTATCCAGAGACATGAGTCCTCTCCCTCAAGCTCAGTGACTGGAGGAGGAAGAGACAATTTTAAGACCAAGTGAGGTCTTCTAGGGATGGGGGCGTGGGGGGTGGAGGGGAAGTGGGGGTGGTGCCTAGGGGCTGGGGGCTGTGGCAACACATTGGAGGTCACCCAACTAGACTTAGGGGGATGTCAAGAAAGGCTTCCCACAAAAGGTGAGGTCAAACTAAAACCTGAACCATGAGTAGTTATTGTTAGGTGAGGAGGGGAGGAAAGAGGGTTGCAGGCAGTGTGAATGTTCTGAGGCCTGGAGACAGGGTAGGAGCAGGGGGATTTCATGAGGAACAAGTAGTCCATTATGGCCGGAGTCAAGAGAGGAAAGTGCCAAGAGCTGAGATTGGAGGGGTGAGCAGGGGTTGGGTCATTATGAGCCTGGAAACTCTATTAATGTGATTTGAACTTGACTCTTGGCACAAGCCAAATGAACATGCCCTTACTGAGAATCCAACAGGAGCTTTATATGGCCCTAGGCAGGGTGGAAGTACAGAAGACAAGGCCCTGCCACTGGGTGATTTTGAACAAGCCATCACTCCTCTTTGGGTCTCAATTCCCCCATCTGCAAAATGGGCTACACCGAAAGTTTCCCAAACTTAAACCACCTACATGGCACCTGCTTGATTTTAATCATATCCCTGTACTACTGGTACTCGTATTTACCTTGACAAACTCACTTTTTTTTATATAAGGAAACTTATACTACTGTCTTACATAGAAAATTTATAGCATTCATCCTAAGTAGAAAGCACCTGCAAAAATACATGATTTTTTATATGAAAATACATAAAGACAGTGGATTTAATTCTTGTTAGTAACAGTTGCCTGCCCAAGGCTCTTGAGCACCAGGCCTGGGAGACTGCCAGTGTTCCAGAGATGGTGGAGAACCCACTAGTACCCAATCCAGTGTCTCTAATGTACTCAGATGGGCTGAAAAAGACTCAAAAGGGAATAAATCTCTCACTATGTGATTTGATGTTATTTACCATTATGCCCGTGCCCACTGACCTACTCTGAAGTGCCCCCTCGGGAATGCATCCCCCTCTGTCCCTATTCCTCTACCAGCTGTGGCCTAGAAAGTCTTTCCAGAGGTAGTAAGATGGGACTAGGTGGAAAGGGGTTTCTGAGGGCACCACAGCCTGGGCAAAGGTAGGGAGAGGAGTGTTACCTAGAGATGCCTCCAGGCTAGCCGTCAGGCCAGTGCTAACAGGTGTTCTCCCCACATCTGCAGAGGATTTCAGTCGCCATGTCTGGAATGCGCGGAGGTGAAGAAATCCGGTTTGGTCCCAGCCACAGCCCGGAGCTCCCCCATGAGAGGATGCTCCCGCAGCCCCTCCTATGCCAGCACCCGCTCTTCCAGTCACTCCTCCCGATCCCCAAACCCCAGGGCCTCCCCCAGGTACACCCGAAGCCGATCCACCTCCTCCGGGAAAAGGTGAGTGCAGTTTTGACCTCTGTTCTGCAGCGCTTTCGTCCTTAGGGAGCTAGTTAAGGTAACTGGACATGTCCTTTGACCCACCGGTGAAAGAAGTCAGACAGATTTGAGTTTGAATGCCCACTACTCCCATTCCTAGCTGGCCTTGGGCCACAGATAACCTCTCCAAGGCTCAGTCTCGTCATCTGCAAAATGAAAACATTAACCTCTCGTGCCTCGGTTTCCCGACTTACAGAATGGGCTTAATAGTACCTAACCCTAGGATCTGTTGAGGATTAAATGAAATAATGCACAAAAAGCATTAGTTCAATGTCTGACACATAATAAAATACATAACAATCATAGCTAACATTTCCTGTGTGCTGGCTCTGTGCAGTATGTGATTTGCCCTAATTTACTCATTTACAATTCTATAGGGTAAGTTCGATTATTTACCCCCTTATATAAATGAGAAAACAGAGGCCCAGAGAAGTGAAATCACTTGCCCAAGGTCACACAGCTAATAAGTAGCCTTAGATAGTAAGAATTCAGTCAGAGGAAGTGGTCGATATTATTATTAATTGCCCAGGAAAGGGCCAGCCAGGTTCCTCTGCCTGGCGTCCAGAAAGAAAAAGGTAACCCCCTGAGGACCAGCTGAATAAAACCCTACACTTCCGGGGTGACCCCGGCGAAGCCCAGCAGGCCCCTCGGAGACTGTTTACTCTCCCGCAGGTCCTACTCTCGCTCTTCCAGCTATTCCTCCAAGTCTGGCAAGAGGAGTCCCCCCAGCAGAAACTCTCGATCGCGCCGCAGCCCCAGCTATTCGCGGTACAGCCCGAGCAGGTACAGGCCCCGCCCCCCAGGCACAGGCCACGCCTCCCAGCTCACTTCTGGGGAGCGTCACCCAAGCCCGCCCCGCTTCCCCCTTTGTCCCAGCATTGCACGAGTAGGAATAGGAAGATGACCCAGCCTCCTCGTCTTCGCTGGAGTTATGTTTGGGGGCCCTAATGCACCCGCTATACCCACACCCCGGCCTCTTCACACACCTAATACTCCCCTTCCCCATATTCAGAGCCCCCAGTTCTTACGCACGCACCAGAGCCCTCTTGACGTTCACGTCCTCGCCCCCGTGGCAGCCGCGCCCCTGTAATGCCCACCCTCGAAGGCTGACACCCCTGCACGTGCCCAGCCTCACCCCCACAGTACACACCCACAGCCCCCTGGGGCCCCGGGAGGAAGCCACCACCTGCCCCAGTGGGGTGAAGGGCACAGGTGAGAGGCAGTGAGTGCCCCTGTCCCACGCGTTCACGCGGGAAAGCCAGCCGCAATAACCCCTGCACCCCTTCAGGGAGCGGGACCCCAAGTACAACGAGAAGGACTCGCAACAGCGGGAGCGCGAGCGAGCGCGTCGGAGACGGCGGTCCTACTCGCCCATGCGGAAGCGCCGGAGAGACTCCCCGAGCCACCTGGAGGCGCGGAGGATAACCAGGTGAGGCCAGGAGGGCCGGGGGTGCCCATCTCCACCCTCATTCCCACCCCTCCTACCGTTGGGGCCTCGGGCCCTCCCCGTGTCCCCTTGGAGCTGGAATTCAGGACTGTGGGAGCTCAGGGACGCTGCGGGCCCTGCAAGGAGGGGGCAGGGCCTCCGGGGCGGGGCCAGGGTGGGTGCCTGGGACAGGGGCGGGGCCAGCCTGAGGAATCTGGTGGGCCGAGGGGGTGTGGCCAGGGTCTGTGGAGCAAGCTGGGGTAGCGTCGAGGCAATGCGGGCCAAAGCCGTGGGGCAGGGCCTTTGTCTGGGGGTGGAGCCGGCCACTGGAGGCCCAGCACCCTCAGACCCACATGCCAGGCTTTAGTAGACTCTGATCATACCCTGCACCAACTGAGGAGAGGGCAAAAGGATCGTCTGGGTGCCAGAGGGACTTAAGAGGGGGAGAGCACTGAATCTGGAGCGCATTCTTGGCTGTGCCACTTTCCAGATGAGCAGGGAAAGTCTCTTCACTTTCCAAACGCTGTGTTTTCACCCATGAAATATTGAAGGAAATAACTCCCAGGAGTATCATGAAAATGAAATGAAAGGGGGCAAAGAGATGTGAACACACTTTGTAAACTTAAATGCAGAACACTGAAACCCGAGGCGTGCCATTGCTATTGATTGCACAGACTAGGTGGATACGGTTTCTAACCAGTAAGCTCTTCACAAGAGAAAAGCCATAGAAGAGAAGCCTGAGGTCTGAGTGGACCCAAATTCCTCAGGCCTTGAAACCGGGACGAGTGGCTGAGAGCTGCCCTAAAACTGGCTCCTGGCAATCGGTTGGGCTCCTCCTCCTGGCCCTCCAAGGGTCAGCTACCCCTTCCAGAGACCCACAGGATGGGGCTGCGGCGGGGTGCGGGTGCCTGGTTCCTCCTCCCCAGAGGTGACCTGGAGGAGGAAAAAGAACCTGTGCCCCAAACAATAAAATGGGGGTAACGGCATCACCTTCTCAGATATCCCACAGATCACCGTGGTACACAGGGACTCCTACACCCTTGACCAAAGGTGACCAAAGGTGTCCTTGGGGTTGACTTGGAGGGAGACAAAGTGGCATTTCTAAAAGGCTCTCTCGTTCCCTTAGTCGGTGTCAAACAGTCCATCTTGATGAACCCATTCAGTGTTTCCCAAACTTCCGTCACCCAGCAGCATCTTTTGATTCGTCTGTTTAGGAAGTGTACTACTGTTTACTTAATTTCTTCAAAGAGATACGCCCTTTCTTAGAGGTGCATACATCTAATTCAAAAGGAATACACCACAGTATACTATAGTAAATGGAAAATCAGCCTCTCTTACCATAAATAGAAGGTTCTAGTAAAAGTAAAAATAGCAAAACAAAACTGCCATTAAAGTCTAGACGTAGATTCCTTCACCAGCTGGAGGCTCTGAGCCCCGGCTTGCTTTGTTAAAAAGTGAGGTTATCACTTCTCAAGACACCAGCGCTGAGACCTTGCCCTGGACGGTCTGAGGGCAGCGAGAGGGGCTTAAAAAGAGTGTTTCCGCTAAGGGCCTGGGAAGTGGAAGGCCATGCCGCTCTCCCGGGGGGACCGTGCTGGCGCGGTCCGGGTCGAGGCTGGGCGGAGTCTGGCCCTCGAGCAAGCTCCCTCTGGTCTCCGCAGTGCCCGGAAGCGCCCCATCCCCTACTACCGGCCCAGCCCGTCTTCATCCAGCAGCCTCAGCAGCACCTCCTCCTGGTACAGCGGCAGCAGCGGCCGCTCTGCCAGCCGCAGCTATTCCCGCAGCCGCAGCCGCAGCCGGAGCCGCAGCCGCAGCCGCAGTCGGAGCCGCAGCCGCAGCCGGAGCCGCAGCCGCAGCCGGAGCCGCACCCGGAGCAGGACCCGCACTAGCAGCAGCTCGGGCTCCCGCAGCCCCAGCCTGGGCTCCCGGAGCCGCAGCCGGAGCTACAGCTCAGCAGACAGCTACTCCAGCACGAGGCGCTAAACGAGGGCCTTCCCTTGAGCCGGCTGCCTGGGGGGTGGGGGGCCCTTTCCCTCTGCCGGCCTCCCCCGCTCCCTGCCCACCCTGCCTTCTCCTTGGTGACAGACATTGAGGGCTCCTGGACCCTGTCCTTCCTGCTCTCCGGGGGGGTAGGAAACGAAAGTACAGGGGCTTTGGCCTCTATGTCAAGCTGCTAGGAGCCTCCACCAGCACCACCCTGGGGCTCAACACAGGCCTGGTCATATGGAGAGAACCATCCTCTGTTGGCACAAAAACCCTCCAGGTTTTGTAAGAAGCGATGGGTTCGTGACTCAACAGTTTGGGCCTGGCCAGGAAAAACAGAGTTTTGCTAACCCACTGCTCACAGGATGCATATGGGAGGCTAGGAGTCATTTGTCACACCTACCCTCATTCTCCTCTCATCCCGTCATGTGTGGACCCTCACGGGGTGGGAGGGGATGAGAGGAAACCAAGAGCAGTGAGGCCCAGGAGAGGGTGTCGCGCCTTTCACCTCCCCAAACAGGCCCAAGCAAAGGCCCGGAGGATGCTTGAGGGGGATAGAAGGGGACCTATCTGAGTGGGGAATGTGGATGTTTCAGTTGGTAAGAAGTGTCAGGAGGTAGGAGATGGGTTCTCTGCCTGTGAATATAGCAGCAAAGGGCAAGGGTCATTCTGCCGCTCCCAAGATCTCGGCACAGTCAGGAAGAGCAGTCCAGTAGATTCTAGCAACGGAGAGGCCACCACATGGCTTAGACAGCCTCTTGGCTGTTCACAGGGCCCCTGAACCTCACTGAGAAAAGACACAGTGGACAGTCAGGACAGCTTGGTGTGCAGCCCCACATCCCAAGTTTGCCTCAGCCCCCACTGGCTGGCACCAGCTTAATTCCACAGGACCATCTGCTGAACATTCCCCAGGGCCGTGGCCGGCTGCCAGTCCCCAGCGCCAGCCAGTCTGGCCTTACCCTCCAGTTGGAGCCCGCCTGCCCCCTCCCCACCGCCCAGACTGCCACACCCTGGATCCCACCCAGTGTGGCTGAACCGTCTAAACCCGCCCTCAGCCTAAGCTACCCCCTTTGCCTCTCAGGAATGTTGCTGGGATGGGGCATAGTAGCTCAGGTTTTGGGGAAAGACCCAAGTCCAGAGAGTCTGGGGGGACAGGGGCTTGGGAACTCCATGGCTTCCGAGGCTTCCTGTCAGCCAGAGCCCACCTTTATTTCTGCCCTCTCCCTGTCTTCCCCCTGCCCAGGGCTGGGCAGCATGGGTAAGCTGATCTCTGACACACAAACACCACCAGCTGCTTCACCCACAGAAGGCACTGAGAACAGGGGTGTGAGGGAGAAGGTCCTTAAAATAAACTCCTGGGCACCCCCCTCACCAGCTGACCGGCCTTCCGGAGCCCTGTGGGTGAATGTCAAGTTTGCGGTGGCAACAGCGGCAGGGCAGGGCATGGAGGGAGATAGTGACGGGGGACAGTCCACAGCTCTGGATACTGGGGGGCGAGTTATGGGGAAGCAGGGACCAAACACTCTTCTTCCTTCACACCCCAGGGACAGCATTTGGGAAAAAATCCCTTTTCTTGACATCAGTGACCCGTCTCCCCGACCCCTTGTCTTTCCCAGTCCATCAGCCCGTGGGGCCAGAAACTGCCCTGCAAACTCCCGCAAGTCCTTCTTCCACCAGGAGAGCAGCGAGAGGTGCCCCAGACAGCATGGGGTGACCTGGCCTTCCCCCGATGCCCTCTGGCCCGGCCCTGGGCCCCACCCGCCAAGACTGACAGATGCCAGTGCTGTCACCACAGAAGGCCGGATGGCAGGTGCCTGGGACAGGGGCAGGTGCCCTGGGAGGGCATGTACAGCAACTGTAAATAACCCTCTTCCCTGCCCGGGAAACCAGCCTGGGCTCCAGTCTCCCATCACGGAGACAAAGTCTTCTCCGAGCCGCAGAACCTCTGGAGCCACGGACCCTCCTTAGCAGGACAGCAGTGAGAGAGGCCTGGGAGCCTCCCATCAGACTGCCTTCAGACAACTCTAGGGGACCATTTTGCCTGGGGCTCCTAGCAAACCTATTATTTATTTTATTTATTTATGT